GTTAAAGGTCCCCAAAGCACACACATCCATCGGTCGCTCCTCTTCAGTTCGCTGCAGCTAGCGACTGGAACGAGCTGCAAATAACCCTCGAAACTGGACAGTTTTATCTCCATCTCTTCATTCAAAGACTCAATCATGGACACTCGTACTGACAGTTGTGGCTGCTTCGTGTGACGTTTTGTTGTCTCTACCTTCTTGCCCTTTGTGCCGTTGTCTGTGGCCAATAAGGTTTGTGCTGCTACCATGTTGTGCTGATGCCATTTTGTGTTGCTACCATGTTGTTGTCATGTTGTGTTGCTACCATGCTGTGTTGTCATGTGTTGCTGCCATGCTATGTTGTTGTCTTAGGTCTCTCTTTATGTAGTGTTGTGGTGTCTCTCTTGTCGTGATGTGTGTTTTGTCCCTAAATTCTGTTTATTTTTAATCCCAGCCCCCGTCCCCGCAGAATGTATTTTGCCTTTTGGTAGGCCGTCATTGTACAAAATAATTTTTCTTAACTGACTTGCCTAGTTAAATAATGGTTAAATAAATAAATAAAATATCAACAACGAGCCAACAATAGATGACAGTGACAGCAATATGGTTGAGGCTGGTTTGCTGTTACCTGGTCTCAGAACGTTTCATATTATCCTGTATGTAAATCCGAGACACTCCATTTAGTATGATATGTTATGTTTCGTATGGTATGTATTAAATTGTGGATGTCCATCACCCATTTCGTATAGGTTACAAATTATAATTTGTATTATGTTAAGAAATTGCATAAACGTACAATATGTTACGAATTTGCAAAACATATGATATGTTACAAATTTACAAAACTTATGATATGTTACAAGTTCTAGCTAGGTGACTAGTTGGCTAACGTTAGCTAGCTGGCTAAGTTAGGAGTTAGAATTAGGGGTTATGGTTAAGTTTAGGAGTTAGGTTAAAGGCTTAAGGTTAGGGGAAGGATTAGCGAAAAGGGTTAAGGTTAGGGGAAGGGTTAGCTAAAAGGGTTAAGGTTAGGTGTTAGGAGAAGGGTTAGCTAACATGCTAAGTAATTGCAAAGTAGATAAAAAGTAGTAAGTAGTTGAAAAGTTGCTAAAATGCTATAGTTGTCCGTGATGAGAGTTGAACTCGCAACCTTTGGGTTGCTAGACATTTGCGTTATACGCCCACCCATCCACCCTACTTTAGTTTTTGCCTTAAGTAACCATCGGTCTTATGCAGGGGTGAAAGTAGATTTAATTGCTTACCGATACGAGACACCCAAGTGCGCGCACACATTTGTTTTAATACCACAAAAATGACAGGTTAGCCTACTCCGCTGACACTGACAAACAGATGGATAAAAAATATGTCTGATCCATATAGTCGGCCTACGAAAAGGGAGACAAATACAATATGACGTCCATCTAACCTGGAGGAGAAAATTATTGTCCAAAAACAAACAAAAGTGGCATTGACACGATGATAAAGACAGTGAATATGCACACTCACCAGGGATATGGCCGATGTTCTCCGCAGGTGCCAATAAGATAGGCTACTATTCGTTCAATTCAGTTAAGAATTTTGATAGGCCTAACTAAAAGACAGATTGGAGTCTTTTCATTGTCATTTCTGTACAGCAATAGCCATTTGCTTTCCAAACAGTTTTTCCGCAATTGTATTTTTAAATATTGCGATATGCCTGGCTGGGTCTCTCTGCTTATCACTGACAGTCGCAACTCAACAATCATCTATTTGGTTTTTGCAGCACGCTCTGCCCAAATTGCGGGCACTTTCGACTGACTGTATGCTATGCAATTTAAAACAATCCACAGCAAAAAAAAAAAAAAAACTAGAAGCTAATGATCCTCTGTGGCCAAATTATGCTTTCTGGTGTAGTAGCCTATTTTGAATTATTTTATATATTTCTGTATAAACAGGAGTATGCTAATTAGGCTACATTGCATTCGGAAAGTATTCAGACCCCTTCACGTTTTCCACATTTTGTTACGTTACAGCCTTATTCTAAAATTGATTTAAATAATAATAATCCTTATCAATCTACACACAATAATGACAAAGCGAAAACAGGTTTTTAGAAATGTTAGCATTTTTTTAACATTTTTAGTCATTTAGCAGACGCTCTTATCCAGAGCGACTTACAGTTAGTAAGTGCATAAATTTTTTCATACTGGCCCCCCGTGGGAATCGAACCCACAACCCTGGCGTTGCAAGCGCCATGCTCTACCAACTGAGATACACGGGGCCTACCAATCAGGCCTTTATGGTAGAGTGGCCAGACGGAAGCCACTTCTCAGTAAAAGGCACATGACAGCCCGCTTGGAGTTTGCCAAAGGCACCTAAAGGACTATCAGACCATAAGAAACAAGATTCTCTGGTCTGATGAAACCAAGATTGAACTCTTTGGCCTGAATGCCAAGCGTCACGTCTGGAGAAAACCTGGCACCATCCCTACGGTGAAGCATGGTGGTGGTAGCATCATGCTGTGGGGATGTTTTTCAGCGGCAGGGACTGGGAGACTAGTCAGGATCGAGGGAAAGATGAACGGAGCAAAGTACAGAGAGATCCTTGATGAAAACCTGCTCCAGAGCGCTCAGGACCTCAGACTGGGGCGAAGGTTCACCTTCCAACAGGACAACGACCCTAAGCACACAGCCAAGACAATGCAGGAGTGGCTTCGGGACAAGTCTCTGAATGTCCTTCAGTGGCCCCGCCAGAGCCCGGACCTGAACCCAATATAGCATCTCTGGCAAGACCTGAAAATAGCTGTGCAGCGACGCTACTCATCCAACCTGACAGAGCTTGAGAGGATTTGCAGAGAAGAATGAGAGAAACTCCCCAAATACAGGTGTGCCAAGCTTGTTGCGTCCTACCCAAGGAGACTCGAGGCTGTAATCGCTGCCAAAGGTGCTTCAACAAAGTACTGAGTAAAGGATCTGAATACTTATGTAAATGTGATATTTCAGTTTTATTTTTTCATTAGCAAAATTTCTAAAAACCTGTTTTTGCTTTGTCATTATGGGGTATTGTGTGTAGATTGATGAGGGGGAAAAAACAATTTAATCAATTTTAGAATAAGGCTGTAACGTAACAAAATGTGGAAAAAGTGAAGGGGTATGAATACTTTTTGAATGCACTGTATATAATTTTGGTAATTTAATTTACTTTAGGGAAAGCTTAGCTTCCCCTAGCCTTATGAACACGCCGCCTATGCCTTTTGTAGCATAAACACAACCAATCATGATGTTTTCATCTGATTGTAAAACAATCACTTAACAAAAGCGCTCCTGTAGGCTACCCACGCACATTCATTAACTCACAAAATAGTTTCAGCATCCAAACCCCAACAGTGCACTGTGCATCCGCAATTTGATGAATGCAAAGAGACATCTGTTACAAAACACCTACGTGTATTGTAATGGCATTCTGTGATTGTCATTAGGCCTACACTTGTAGCCTGAATTGATGCATCCACTGTTATCCACGGGCATCTCGGTCTCGGCCACTTATCTCCGCCTTGTCGTCCGTGAGCATCTCAGCCACTCATCTACACCTTGACAAAATGTAAGTGTTCTCCTCAAACCACAACGCAATTTGGAGCACACATTTTTCATGCGGCTGACATGCAGTAATGTTAAATAATGATGTCCATATATGTATATATTCTTAATTCATTCCTTACTTAGATTTGTGTGTATTGGGTGTATGTTGTTAAATTGTTAGATATTACTTGTTAGATATTACTGCACTGTCGGAGCTAGAAGCACAAGCATTTCGCTACACCCGCAATAACAACTGCTAAACATGTGTATGTGACAAATAAAACGTGATTTGATTTTAATAGCCTATAGTTTTTTGTGATAGGCTCACGTTTTACCGGTAAGGTGTACCTCCACTCTTTATTTTGCCGGGACATCGTACCGGACCACCTTACTTTCACCCCTGGTTTTATGTAAGCATACCAAACTGATCATACTAATTTTAGCATCCCGGATTTACGTTTACTATGTTACGTCTTGTCTATGAGACCAGGCTGGGTTGACAGCAGACTCGAGCACATGCAATTCAAGTATTTAGCTAAGCAATGACACATAACGGCATTCGATATTAACTGTGTACAACAGCTTATGTCGTACATGTAACAGGTCATTTTTAATGTATCTAGCTATTAGCTAACGCTGCTAGCCTCTCTTCCTACCCCATGCATGGCTCACCACGACTAGCTAGCTAGCCAGGCTGTTGCTACCAATACATAGCCCCATATGGTGTTTTATAAATGTACAACATTATATATTTCGAGCTGTGTATACATGTAATCTCGCATGCATATAGTTTACCTGTATTTGCATGACAATGTCATAAAAAAAAAGAATTGTTAAAAATGCAAGAATTACGTTAGTGAGCACAGCCTCCCCAATCTCCTTTATAGTAGATGCGTCTGGGAAGCTGTGGAGGGAAAGAATATTAGCTAGTGACGATCAGCAACACAATATGAATGGAATGTTGCTAGTAAAATAGCTACGATGTCGCGTTTACTGGCTACCGAAACGAACCAGAACAGTGGCCTTGCAAACAGCGTTGCACATGATGGCATATATTTTGCGCCGTCATATAACTTACATTTGTTGAATGGAATAAATAGTCATGTAATTGTACAAATTGCCAACTAAGTTCATAAATGATAAGTTATTAACTGTCAGGCCATTGAATTCTTATTGTTGCTTCGCATCCCAAAATGTGCAGCTCAGACAATTGGGCGTGACCATTCTCTGAGACAGACGGGGTATAAAATCAGACCATATCTTCGTAAAATGCATGAACCAATGTAATGTTTTACTTATTACTTGGAAATAACAACACACATACAGATAATGTCAAACACACGCCACTACTGTTGTTATCAGACACCATAGAATATTTCACAACAACTCGAAATTCGAATTTGAAAATGGTAGAATCCAGTTTTGTTTGGCAGCGGAACGCGTCATCACTGAATTGATAGGAGAAGCATTGGGGACTTGTCTGGACGAATGGCGAATATGGACTATCAGCGGGAAGTTCAAAACTTTAGGAGAAATGCAAGCGCTAGGTCATCGTGTTCTTCTCTCGCCATGGAGATAAAAAGAAAGAAATAAGAGAGAACACAGTATTCTTGCAATCAGAGGTAATGTGCCAGTTTGTTTGTTGTCAAACGATTAGCTAACTACTAGGCTAGCAAACGTTAGCTAACTGATGCTTTTCTAACGCGTCAGCTAGCTAACAAGCGTATCCAGCTGAGCTAACAATTTCTTCTACACAGCGTTACAGTAGTGTTATAATTTGTGCTCTAGCTAGCTAACGTGAATGCAGAAATATTAAAGTGGTTTGCTAGCTGTGTTCCAATGCTTTCTTTCATGATTACTGATTTGTAAAACACTGGCCTCCATTCAATCTATTATGTATCTGATACGTTAGTCGTTACTTAATCCACTCTGGCCCTGTCCAGAAACAACCCAGCCTCTAGCCAAGCAAACGTAATCTCCACGATGATGTGAAATACATCGTGGAGATGAGTTTTACTTGGTTACATAGCCTCTAGGCACTTATACTGACACGTATGGAGATGCATACTTCCTTCTGATGGTGGCTGTTTCTAAATAGGACCTAGCTAGCAGATTGTATCGGGCTATGTAATGTGATCCTCCATTAGCCGTTACAAGATAGGTACTGTTTGGCATAGCACGTAGAATCATCTTGTCTATTTCAAATCTCCTCTCATTGATTGAGACAGGTGTACACTTTGTTGGATTACGTCATGGAACAAAAAAATTGATTTATTTTATAACGGAGCATTTTCAAAATGAAAACGAACTGCCTGCAACTGGATACCGAAATTTTAGAAGATACATGTATTGTCCGAATCGAGAACGAAGATGGTATCATCGCCAAGTTAAGGTTGGTGGAAAATTCTCTGCTACGCCAAACAGTACCTGTCCGGTAACGGCTAATGTAGCGTCACATTGGCCCGTTACAATCTGCTAGCTGTATAGATAGGACCCTTTTCTCTCCTCTATGACACCCTTTCAGTGGTCGTGAAGAACAGTTCTGCTTTGCATGTTTATTGAAACGTTTATTTTTTGCTCTATTAACAAACGAATGTTCTTGCAGGCAAAATGCATGAAAAGATGTCCACATCTGAATGACACTCATGAAATTAGAGGACATTAATTTGTTGTACATAAGACAGATTTCTAAGAAACTACAGGTGACAAAATAGAGGAGAATGATGATGTTTACATATTGAAAGAGAAATTAAGGCTAAATAATCATAGAACAGTATACTATCTATAGCCTATACTTTCTTTAGCCTCTCTACCAACCATCAGATGTCTGAGTGGTGTAAACAGAAATTACAACAAATTATTTAGTCCTTTAATAAACATAGTCATAATCCCTATGTTAATGGTTTATTTGTTAGCTTTCCTCTTTTAGAATCTTGTCAACCACCTACGTACATCTCCATATTAATAAATTATGTGATACTGTGATAGATTTTGTTTTCTAGCAAAGACCACCCAACATGTCATGCACCTCATGGACATCAAACCCTGTCAATCTCTTGAGTCTGCCCAACCAAACATTTTTGTCATGTTTTGAGTTTCTTTACTTCAGATGGATTAAGTTCTGTTTCAGTTTCAAATGAGTGTTTTTGACCCATTTAACATTCTTCACATTTTGTCTTTGCTCTAATGATGTTTACCTTCCAGTATCCCTCTTTCATCAAGATCTGTGTCCTCACCTCTCTCACCCAAAACCCATCACTGTCTCCTGTCTGTGACACGTCACATCCTTTAGCTAGAGGATATCACCAAACTCCTTAGCTACCTGTCTCCTGTGAATCCACACTATTGTAATTCTCTCTATTGCTATGGTGTTATCCCCCTCCTACAGGACACTAACATGCAGGAGAAGATAGACTTTGAGATCCGCATGCGAGACGGGGCCTACAAGCTCCTGGTGGCCAGCACCAATAGAGAGCAGATCCTGAATGCCTCCAAGAACCTCCTGACCTGCAACACTCGGATCAAGGCCTACATGACAGAGATGCACAAGAAGGAGGACCACGATATGAGAGTTGCATCTCGTAGGAGGTAAAGATATCAGACCTTCTATTTTCTGGTTATGTGTGTTTGTTTGTGAAGTCGTGCTCCATAAGTGAAGTTGAATTTATCATGTGTTTTGTGTGCCATAGACTATCAGATCGCATTTCAAATGATCATATGGCCTGCAGAGGAAAAGTGGCATTGTCTGGTAAGTTCCTTCTTTTTTGTCAGAAGGGAACAATGACTGTCCTGTATCATATGTTTCCTTTCATATTTCATGAAGATCATTAGATATTGAGCCGAGCCGCTTGTCTTATCACCGTTGTTGGAAAGTATACTGGGATTCTTTCATTTACTGACAGGTTTGTCTTTGTCCTCCACTGTAGGGCTGCGGATACCGTTGATGTGGAAAGACTCAGACCACTTTAATAACAAAGGGAGTGAGTAACTTATGTCATTTATTGTTTTCAGTGAAGGGAAAGGAAAGCTACAGAGGAAAAACCGAAGCTCTGGAAATTCAGTTCAGTTCATTGAGACAACCTAATAACTAAAGCAATTCTCATATACAAGCCATGTCCTTGCCAATATTCAAAATATGTGTGGTCTTTTGTAGCTCAATTGGTAGAGCATGGCGCTTGTAATGCCAGGGTAGTGTGTTCGATCCCCGGGACCACCCATGCGTAAAAATATATGCACACATGACTGTAAGTCGCTTTGGATAAAAGCGTCTGCTAAATGGCATATTATTTATTATTATTTATTTATGTATTCTGAGTCTGGATGTAGTTATGATTGTGAATCCTGGTTTTAGGCTCGCGGCGGGTTGCCATCTTCTGCCTGATGAGAATTGGATCAGAAGTTTTTGACACTGAGATGGTGGTTGTGGACAGATCTATGACGGATGTTTGTTTTGAGGGTGTAACGGTTTTGTAAGTATTCCCCACAAGTACAAACTCATATTGTTGAAATGGGATACCTTGGTTCTATGTCTACAGGACCCTATCATGTTCTTTCCAGTCTTTTGTTAAAGATGCACTCCGTTATCCAAATTTGTAACATATGGCACAAATTGGATTCGTAACATATCAAACCAATTACGAAATTCGTATATCATCATACAAATTGCAGAATTCGTAACATATCACACGAAATGGATGACATAGTACACAAAAAATGGGGACCACTTTTGGCTTGTGAGCACCACTTTCAAAACTACTGGCTGAAATTATACAAAAGTTTGAGAATGCATCTATAAGTGTTCTGAGTCTTACATTTCCCTCCTGATTGACAGTAACGATGTTGGGCCTGCCTTCGAGCTGAAGGTGGAGCTCTATAGCTGTGCCATAGAGGAGGAGACCACCCTGGTCAACACCCCAAAGAAACTGGCCAAGAAGTTCCGCAGTTCATTCGGCAGGGCATCTGGGAGGAAACTCTGCCCCCTGCTTGAAGCTGGAGACCCCGACGCTTTCCTGCAGTCCAACCCAATACCCCTGTATGTGAGCTGTAGTTAAGGCCCAGAGTTTTCCCTGGTCAGGTCTCATGGTCAGGAACAACGTTGGGTGCTGATTATATGTAATGGGTAGGGCCCAGATTCTTTCCTGACCTATAGTGCCAGCTATAATGTACTGTAGTCACCCCTTTTGGTTAGGCAGTTGTTGCCTTTTGCCTAGTCAGTCATCTGGTTAATCTTGTATGTTAAATCACGTTGGGTCTCTGTCTGTCCTTCCTAGGGGGGCAAGGTACAGCCTGCTGGCGTACACCTCTCTGGGCTTGGCCTGGGCCGATGGGGGCTTCCAGTCCCATTCTCTCATAGTCCTCCAGGATGGTCAGAGCAACACTTCATTGCCCATTCTTTTATATACTGCTTTGCGTTACAGATACATTTCATTGCCTGTTTTTGGCTTCATAAAGGATTGTCACAATATGCCTTACATGCCTTGTTTGGACTGCTTTCTCTTTAGCTGAGTCGTCCTCCTGGCTGCCTCTCTATGGGAACCTCTGCTGTCGTCTAGTTGCCCAGCCCATCTGTATGACCCAGGACATGATGAATGGCTATCTGATTCAGCAGGTGAGCTAACTGTTATCAACCCTCTGACTGCTCCCTGACAAACTATAGAGTACCATATCTGACCCTGCCAGTCAAGCCCTGATAAGCAGAGCTAAAACCTTCTTTAGTCATATAACATACCATTCTGTGGCGTAGAAAAGTAAACCAATGTCTTACCATAGCTCACTACATAATACCCATAATAAATAATAATTGTCTTCTATTCCAGCAAAGTGTGGAGGGGCTGTCCCGGTGCTGCAGCCTGTACTGTGTGCTCAGGGCTGGGACTCTGTTCTGCTACTACACCCCTGAGGAGATCACTGCCAAGGTGGAGCCCAGCCTCATCATACCCATCAACAAGGTAGATGTTGCCATGGTAACCGACCCTGGTGATTGTGATAGAACAGCACGTAACTGTTAGTTTTCAGTTTGTCATCCCTGGGCTCTCCTCTGCTGTTTCTCTGTCCAGGACACTAGGATCCGTGTGGTGGATAAGGGCCCTCAGAAGAGGTCCAACAGTCTGACCATCACCAACCCAGTGGTGGGGGGTGCTCTGACCAACGTCTTCACAACTGACAGCAGGGAGGAGCTGGAGGACTGGATGGAGGCATTCTGGCAGCACTTCTACGACCAGAGTGAGTGTTTGGAAGAGTTAGCAAAAACCCTTATCTCATGCTCTTTCTTTCAGAGATTTAATCAAATTCATATTTCGCCACCCAACGCTCTGATCTGATTTGTTTTCTGTCTCTCCCAGGTCAGTGGCAGCACTGCTGTAGTGAGCTGATGAAGATTGAGGTTACGTCGCCAAAGAAACCCCCACTCTTCCTCACCAAACAGGCTGACTCTGTCTACAATGACCTGAGTAAGTCCAGTGCCCTAAAAATCTTTGACTACATATTGTATTGTCTTAGATTTTGCTGATATGCAGTTTTGGGTGAGAAAATACAACTTACTTATTTTTTAAATGAGCCCTGCAATACACACACATTAAATATAAAATGCAATCAATCAAAATAATTAAATCAAATATTAATCAATCAGATCATGTGAACTCTTCTGTGAAGAGGTCACTAATTAAGTTTCTGTAAAACTGCCTTACAGAAACCAGTGTTGGGTAAGCTGTCATACACTATTTATATACTATATGATTAATTTAGTCAGTTTTCCCCATTTGTTCTAAAGGTATAAATTCTCCTGGAAAGTTTGAGAGTATCACCGACATCATCCACAACAAAATCGAGGAAACAGGGGGCCGCTTCCTCATTGGTGAGGAGGAGGCAAGGGAGCCTCCTAAATGGTCCACTCTGTTTGACGGGTCCCTCCCCATGGTGGTGCAGAAGAGTGTTCTGTCTCCGGGCAAAGAGAGTCCCTGTCCCAGCCCCACTCCCAGCTCCAGCTCTGTCTCCAATGGCAACAAGAAGAGGCGTGCCCCGCCCCCACCTGCTGACAAGCAGCCTTACGGCTTCCCTCCAGCCAGACCCCCTCCTCCGTATCAGGAGAAGGACAACGTTGGGGCTGGGGCGCGAACCAAGACAGGAACCAAGACAGGACGGCCCTCGCTGGACGCCAAGTTCTCTGCCATCATCCAGCAGCTGCAGAGGAACCCTGGTGGCCTGTCCAGAAAGAACGCCCCCCTGGGCCAGATGGAGCCTCCCCAGCTGGAGCTGGAGTACCCCCAGACTCCTGATGTCCCCCCCAGGCCTGCCCCCGTTCCTGCTCCACGCAACAAACTGAGGAAGTCCTTTAGGGAGAAGATGAACCCTAAAGCCTGGTGACTGACTGAACAAGGGACCTTACCTGGGACTAAGGACTGAAGACAGGGTCGCCAGTGGCCCAAATATGCCTCTAACTTTTACTAATAGGACCTATTCAGGTGTTTTAGGGGAATTTCTTAATGACTAAGCGACCGTCCTTAATGAAACTGTCTTAATCGAATTTATGCCCAAGTGTCCAAATACTCACTGTAGGAATCTTAGCATGTATGGACTGCAAATACACTTGTGAATGTCTGAATGTGGGACCTTTGGGATGAATAACGTTCTCGTGGTTCTTTTGACAGGGTGTACCTAACCACTACGATAATAGACTATGATAATAGTCCTTAATGCATTGGAGGCCTTTCTAACCAGAACATATCACTGAAACGATATATATTGAACACTTATCAGAGACACAGCGAATGGTGGATCTAATGTAAGCATTGCATAAAATGATGTTATAGGCCAGTAGAGGAGGAGAAAGAAGTTCAGGTTTGCACTGCACTCAATATAAGCAGTGGCCTGATGATTGAAATGGGACATGACACTTTCTAGTGGACCAAACTAATGCACAGTACACCGTGGCCTGAGCCAGTTATCACTTTCTCTTTTTACAATACAATGACAATAATTGGTTTTAAGGAAATGTTTTTGAATTGTAGATGTATCATTATTGTACCAAATCATTTGCACTTTTTTTTTGTAGTTAGACTTGCTAAAATACACAGGAATTCAAAGCACCATGCCGTTTCTCATTTTTAATTCAATTGAAGTATTTGTTAACAATATTCGGTGGAATATGTTTGAAGCTAATGGTTGTACTAGACATTTCTGATTTTGTTATTGTTGAAAATGTGTATTGTTGATGTTTTGTGTAGCCCTAATGTATTAGATTATGTTGTTTCCCTCCACTCATATACTGTAAGATATCTAACGGTCTTCCATGCTCTGGATTAAAACCCATTTCTACTACATTTTTGTAACTTTCTTTGTTGATTTGGTCCAACTAATGCTTTATGTGAGCTTTTACTTTAGACTGCTGAAGGTATTGTGCCATTTGTAAATGTAAAAACTAGTAACCAAAATATCCTCCAACATAGTGCAGTTGTACCAGGAGGTGGCGACAATACCTTAAGCAGGCTAAGCATAGCCACATACTGCAGCAAACACTGTATAATCATTTGTGGGTAACGTGACTCAAATCACTTTTAGAAAGGGCAGACTCACTGATGTAACATTGCATATAACTATCTGATATAAATGACCACTGCAGTCATTTTTAATGTGAATAATACTGCTTGTCCTAGATAACAGAATTTGATGATAACACCCAATATCAGCCAAGACCATTCTAATATATGGACACTTCATCACTCCCTAATCAGACCTTTCAACTGAAAACGTATTACCAGTCCGCATACAGCCACTATAAATGGGAACACAAAACCTTTCTTTTAATTATTAGCAACCTTCCGTTCCAGACATACTGTCAGCAAATTGCACAGTGGTTAAGACATGAGTATTACATTTACATTTTAGCAGACGCTCTTATCCAGAGCGATTTAGAGTTAGTGAGTGCATACATTTTTCATACTGGCCCCCGTGGGAATCGAACCCACAACCCTGGCGTTGCAAGTGCCATGCTCTACCAACTGAACTACAGGAGGTCTAGAGTATGACCCAACACTGGTAAAATGCCTTGAAATAGATTTGTAGTTGGGTCTACATAATGTTTCACAATTTCACCATTAATCTTCTTAGGAAATTAGTTCCATTTCCCAACCCCACCCATCTGTGGTATATATAGTACCACCACAATTAAGGGGAGAAAGACATTCGTAGATAGTAAAATATTTTAATTAAATATACAGAGGATCATATAATACAAAATGTTTTTCTTATTGTTTGCCAGCTGAATGATTGGTAAACAGATGGCACATAGTATCAAAAACACTTTAAAGAAAAACACAAAAACAAGAACACAAAACAAGCAAATAAAAAATATGTCCTAACTTTAGTGTTCAGATCTAATAGTAAGGTGACCTGTGACACATCTAGATTGTGTAACCAGCTGTATGCATTTATACTATTTACAGATTATAACATATTACACATAACAGAGAGAAGTCAACAGTATTTACATTATTAGACGTCAGACAGAAAAAGATACCAGAGAATGGATTTGAATGTTAAGGAACCTAAACATCAGTTATTTAAGCTGCTTAGGAAAACATGACATTCAGAGCATGTAATTGTGAATGAATGTTTATCTTAAAGGAAAATTCCACCCAAAAACTATATTTTGGTATTTGTTTCATTAGTCCATTGTTGATATAGTCCCAAAATGTTTTGCATGTCTGCAATCAAGTTTTCAAGATGTAACATTAAACATACAGAAATACGCAGCATCATATGATGCGAAATGCATCATAACGGCTGTATTTCTGTATCTTGAAAGTTGTATATCTTGAAAACTTGCTGACATGCAAAACATTGGACTAATGAAACAAATACCAAAAGATAGTTTTTGGGTGGAGTTTTCCTTTAATTGTCTGTTAAATCTCTGTGGATTGGCTTTACAACTAATTTAAACAGCAAATGTGTTACCTATATTTCACATGTCCCAAATACCCATTAAAAGCAGTTATGATGGTTGTTAAAACAGACCAGGTGCTATTATTCCTCGGGTGCTACAAGCTGCCTTTTGATCACTGTGTCTGGCAGTGGCACATAAATCTATCCTAGTAGCCATTCTCTACACCAGCGCTTAACTATCCCTGTGCTAAACAGTAACTATGGTACTATACAATTACAGTCCAATGAGTTTGCACTGCAATGTGATGATAGAATGGAACCTTATAACCGTAATAATAATATATTTCTTTTATATAGCGCTTTCCATTATACAGATAACCTCAAATATGCTTAAAAACAAAAATGAATGTACATGCAGTTCTTGGGCTGGACAATGGTCTTCAACTGAGGCTGGCGCGTCCAGGTCACATCCAACTCCGTTGGGCTGCACATACTGTAGGCCAAGCCTACAACAGTCTCCTGAAAGTCAGTCATGATAGAAAACTGTAGTGCTGCAACCCCTAATCGAAGATTAAGAAAGGCACAGATATTCACAAAGCAATCATCTAAAAGACAAATTCGTATTTATCATGCATTATGCTGTTGAATGAAGGAGGCACAGTAAACAGCCTTAGACCAGTGATGTTTCAGAGCTATGTCAAGATCTGAGCTGTCAGATGTCACAGTAGGCAGCATCAGTGACTCATGTTAAGCGCAGTACAAATACTTTCTGTTCAATATATTAATGTATCTGGGTCACTTTCCCACCTCTCAAGGGTCAACAAAACATTTTGAGAGAATGTTCCTGACAAACGATCTGACTTGCCTTAAAAAAACGGATGAAAAACGTCAAATGTGGTATCTTCACAGCTTGGGTGTTCTGATGAAAATGAGCTGTTATCTACATGCAATACCCCAGGAACTTGTGGTTTTGTACAGCACCTTGGTTTAACACAGTCATTTCTAAGACGTGTAGTGGTCTAATACATGAACACAAACAGGCCACAGCACCACGCTAGAGAGCTGTAAACAGATCCAGAACATTGATTGAAGGTGGAGTAGCCGAATGCTTAACAGTTGCATTAACTTTTCCGATGGTAAATCTTGCGAAAATAGTTTATTTTAGATAGTCCCCTCATGTTTTTAAGTGTTTCAACCTGATAAAATCCCCAGAACACATTTGGAGGATGAAGTTGTTGCATTGCAGTGATTTGGAATCCAATCCTTTGGAGACCCAGCAAATATGATTATCCCCCCGACATGCATGCCAATGGCTTTTCTCTGTCTCCCTTCACACTCAAAGATAATAAGAACCTGACTGTTGAGTGAGAGAAACAACCTGGTTGGTGAACACAAACACTACATAGAGTGCAAATTTATCCAAAGTAACTAAGTGGTGATACAGTGCAAAAAAACAAAAGATACACAAAAATGGAACTGTGTGCCTGACTAAAGAGTTAATCCACCATCTACAGTTAATCAGTGTTGTCATGCTTACTGAAGAATAGAATACTAGATCCACTGTCCCAGGGAGAGACAGTTAAGCTCCATGTGGGTCCGTCTGTTAGAGTCTGGTGCTAGGGTGCATGGAGGACAGCTGTGGGTGGGTGAGGGTGGACAGGGGGTACAGGTGGTGCAGGAGGTCCCCGTACAGGGCTGCCCCCCCAGGGTGCCTGTAGAAGTGGTGGGGGCTGGGCTGGGAGGCCATCAGCTGCCTCTGTAGCATCATGGAGTGGAAGGCTAGCGGAGGGACCAGGGGGGACACGGCTGTCTGGCTCTTCAGGTACTGGAGGTTGTGATGGAGGGCGTCCTGCACCCCGGGGTACATCCCTGGGTAGAAGGGCACCTGGGGAGGGTAGGTGTGGCCCTCGGGAATGTGGCTGTGGAGGTGGAAGTGGACGGCGTGCGCCGGTTCGGCTGGTTTGAGCTCCTCCCCCTGTGGGTCGCCTCGGCGGACAGAGCCGGCGGGGTGCATTGGGGTCACCACTCGCACCTTGCGGTCTGGCACCCCCTCGTTCTCTAGTTCCCCCAGGGTTCTCTTACTGGGTCTGGAGGCACCGACAGTCTCAGCATGGCTTTTAGGGTTGAAGAAGGGCTGAAGGGGGTCCAGGTGTTTGGTCGTAGATATAGTCATGGGGGGGACTCTGCACGCTTTGGGGTGACAGTCTAAACTCTGGTGTATCATGGGATACGGGAGGCCACAGAAAGAGGGCTTTGTGAAAGACATCCTTTGAGAGACAGGCTTGGAAATACTGAAATCTTGAGGTTCCTCATCCATTGGTCTATCCCCATGTGTTTGTGTCCTCTCAGAGAAGTGGGGAGCTCTGTAAGCCAAACATTCTCTGTCAGAATTGTTTGAGGTGAATACCTCGCTGCTCTGACGTTCCCTGATAAAATGTTCCTGTTTGTCTCTGTTGGGATAACTGTCCATTCGCTCTTGACTCAGACAGTTCTCTGTCTGCCGGTAGAGGTTGTGCAAGTGAGGGGAGGAGTAGCAGTCACCTGCGTAGCCTGGTGGTGCCTGACTGGGCTGCTGCATCCGTGTCTCCCCTGCGTTCTCCTCTCCATCCTGGGTCTCAGTCCTGTGGAGGTAGGGGTGCCAGGGGGGGTGGAGCTGGGGCTGGAAGTGGCTCACTCTGCAAGTGAAGGGCTCAGACAGATCCCCCAGAGGACTCCTCTCTTGCTGGGGTTTGACGCTCTGGGCGTGCTGGATGACAGACGGCCTGAAGATGGGTGCCATCTCTGGGCTATCCTGCAGGGAGTCCTGCCTCAGTTTCACCACCTCTTCAACACAACTGTCGCTCACATCACCCACGCTGGCTGACGGAGTGGGAGGAGGAAGAGGAGGGGAACTGAACGAGTAATTATTTGTCTCACAGACTTGGGAGAGGAGCTTCTTCTTGGCTAGTGGGGACATGACCCCCAGGTTGTCCTTAGAATACGCTGTTGGCATGGGCATGTGACACTGATTTATCTCTTTGTTTTTACTGGGGGAGTCCTGTTTGTCTGTGATTGGCTCTGTGGAGTACTGCTGCAGTGGGGGTGGGCTCTGCTTACACATGGGCAGCACCTTCCCCACCCTCCCACCATGTCCATAACCGTGACTGTCTGTGTCTTTAGCTACCGGAATGACAGGTGTGCTTGGGTCAGGTAGACTGCTATACCCAGGCTTACTGTTGTTGTTGTCCCAGTGGTATGGATATGGGGTCTTAGACAGGGTTCCATCAGCTTGGTCCCTTTGCTCAGCGTTGAGTTTGTCTGACTGTGGCTGGTTGGGATGTCTCCACTCGGACTGTGGACACAGTTCACTGTGGAGGACAGGTGTGGCTCTGTGGCAGTCTGTGTTGGGGGCATTCAGGCGCGATGGTTCCTTCTCGCTCAATGTCTCCTCTTTCTTCAGGGTGAGTTGTAACTCCTCCTCTTCAGGCTCCTCTCTGGGCAGAGGATCCTGCTTCATGGCTGCAGGCACCTGGTTGTCCCCTTTCTTCTCAGATACCTTAGTGGGAAAACACACGCCATACTGTTATTATTTTAAATTGGTAGTTACAGTCTTGTCCCATCGCTGCAACTCCCGTACGGACTCGGGAGAGGCGAAGGTCGAGAGCCATGCTTCCCCCGAAACACGACCTTGACACACTGCTCGCTTAACCCAGGAAGTCAGCCGGAGGAAACACCCGTACAACTGGCGACTGAAGTCAGCTTGCAGGCGCCCGGCGCAATTGTATTTTAATTTTTATTTTACTAGGCAAGTCAGTTAAGAACAAATTCTTATTTACAATGATGGCCTACACCGGCCAAACCCGGACGACGCTGGGCCAATTGTGCGCCGCCCTATGGGACTCCCAATCACGACCGGTTGTGATACAGCCTGGAATCGAACCAGGGGGTCTGTAGTGACGCCTCAAGCACTGAGATGCAGTGCCTTAGACCGCTGCGCCACTCGGGAGCCCCAGTGGGACAAGGAAATCTCAGCCGGCCAAACCCTCCCCTAACCCGGACGACGCTGGGCCAATTGTGCGCCACCTCATGGGTCTCCCGGTCACGGCCGGCTGTGACACAGCCTGGGATCGAACCCAGGGCTGTAGTGATGCAGTGCCTTAGAACGCTGAGCCACTCGGCAGGCCTCCATACTGTTATTCGATACATAGACATGACGTGTGTGTGATGTTGGCATTTGTTATCTTTTCTAAGAAAGAGTGTGTGTGAACCATTGTTTGTGAGACCCTGAGACAGACGGACAGAAAAGGAGTATTGCTGACCTGTGAGAGCTCCTGTCTTTTTGCAGTGTCCCCTCTCTCTCTCTTCTTCCTGGCCCCCTGCCTTTGGTGTAGTCCACCTTTAGGTCGTTTCGCTGTGACCCCTTTGTGTTTGGCACCCCCCTCTTGCGCCCCATGCTCCTGTTTTGGGGGTTTTGCTGAGGGGAGGGGTTTGTCTTCCTCTCCTTTGGTGTGCCTCTCGTAAGGTAGGAGGAGCCTGGAAAGGTCAGAGGGGAAGAGACTGAGTTAACCTAAATCTGACACGAAGTTAATATGGATTTATCAACTTAGGAATGCTGTTGTATACCCTGCCCATGTAGCTGCAATGAAACATGTCTAAGAATTAATGTCTTTAAAGATGATTATTATTATTTGTATTTATTTTTATAGATATACAATACCAGTCAAAAGTTTGGACACTCCTACTCATTCAAGGGTTTTCCTTTATTTTTACTATTTTCTACATTGTAGAATAATAGTGAAGACATCAAAACTATGAAATAACACATATGGAATCATGTAGTAAACAACAAAGTGTTAAACAAATCAAAATATATTTTATATTTGAGATTCTTCAAATAGCAACCCCAATTGGGTTGAGGTCGGGGGATTGTGGAGGCCAGGTCATCTGATGCAGCACTCCATCACTATTTTTCTTGGTAAAATAGCCCTTACACAGCCTGGAGGTGTGTTGGGTCATTGTCCTGTTGAAAAACAAATGATAGTCCCACTAAGCCCAAACCAGATGGGATGGCGTATCGCTGCAGAATGCTGTGGTAGCCATGCTGGTTAAGTGTGCCTTGAATTCTAAATAAATCACAGACAGTGTCACCAGCAAAGCACCCCGACACCATAACACCTCCTCCTCCTTGCTTTACGGTGGGAACTACAGATGCGGAGATCATCCGTTCACACACACCGCGTCTCACAAAGACACGGCGGTTGAAACCAAAAATCTCAAATTTGGACTCCAGACCAAAGGACAGATTTCCACCGGTCTAATGTCCATTGCTCGTTTTTCTTGGTCCAATCAGGTCTCTTCTTATTATTGGTGTCCTTTAGTAGTGGTTTCTTTGCAGCAATTCGACCATGAAGGCCTGATTCACACAGTCCCCTCTGAACAGTTGATGTTGAGATGTGTCTGTGACCTGAACTCTGTGAAGCATTTATTTGGGCTGCAATTTCTGAGGCTGGTAACTCTAATGAACTATTCCTCTGCAGCAGAGGTAACTCTGGGTCTTTCATTCCTGTGGCGGTCCTCATGAGAGCCAGTTTCATCATAGCGCTTGATGGTTTTTGCGACTGCACTTGAAAAAACGTTCAAAGTTCTTGAAATGTTCCATATTGACTGACCTTCATGTCTTAAAGTAATGATGGACTGTCATTTCTCTTTGCTTATTTGAGCTGTTCTTGCCATAATATGGATTTGGTCTTTTACCAAATAGGGCTATCTCCCCCTACCTTGTCACAACACAACTGATGGCTCAAACACATTAAGAGGGAAATATATTCCACAAATTAACTTTTAAGAAGGCACACCTGTTAATTGAAATGCATTCCAGGTGACTACCTCATGAAGCTGGTTGAGAGAATGCCAAGAGCGTGCAAAGCTGTCATCAAGGCAAATTGTGGCTATTTGAAGAATCTCAAATATAAAACATATTTTGATTTGTTTAACACTTTTTTGGTTACTACATGATTCCATATGTGTTATTTCATAGTTTTGATGTCTTCACTATTATTCTACAATGTACAAAATAGTAAAAATAAAGAAAAACCCTTGAATGAGTAGGTGTTCTAAAACTTTTTACTGGTAGTGTATATTTTCTTTACCCCCTTTTTCTCCCCAATTTCATGATTATGATCTTATCTCATCGCTGCAACTCCCCAACGAGCTCGGAGAGGTGAAGGTCGAGTCACGCGTCCTTCGAAACATGACCCGCCAAACCGCACTTCTTAACACCCGCTCGCCTAACACGGAAGCCAGCTGCACCAATGTGTCGGAGGAAACACTGTTCAACTGACGACCGAAGTCAGACTGCAGGTGCCCGGCCCGTCACAAGGAGTCGCTAGAGTGCGATGAGCCAAGTAAAGCCCCCCGTCCAAACCCTCCCCTAACCCGGACGACGCTGGGCCAATTGTGCGCCAACCTATGGAACACCCGGTCACGGCTGGTAATGACACAGCCTGGGGTTCGATCATTGTAAATAAGAATTTGTTCTTAACTGATTTGCCTAGTTAAATAAAGGTAAAATAAAAAATACAATAAAAAAGTAGTGATGCCGCAACACTGCGATGCAGTGCCTTAGACCACTGCACCACTCGGGAGGCTAAAGATTAATGTTTACATGCAAAATTCTATCAATTGATAAGATAACTCCCCCACACAGTAATGAAAAGCTCCAACTTATATTGGAAGAGGACATTCGCTCTAGGAAGTTATATTAAGATTAAAGGGACACTTCGGGATTTTGTCAATGAGGCCCTTTATCTATTTCCCCAGAGTCAGATGAACTCGTGGATACGATTTATATGTCTCTGCGTGCAGTTTGAAGGGAGTTGCTAACTAGAGCTAGCGCAATTGCTAACTAGTGTTAGCATAATGACTGGAAGTCTATGGTATCTGCTAGCATGCTAGCAGATACCCATAGACTTCCAGTCATTGCACTAACGGCAGTTAGCATTGGCTTGCGAAACTACCTCTAACTTTATACTGGACAGAGACATAAAAATGGTATCCATGAGTGAGTTCATCTGACTCTGGGGAAGTAGATAAAGGGCCTCATTGCCAAAATCCCGAAGTATCCCTTTAACCAGAGATGCTAGGCCTATAACTGTGGCGTAGACAAAGACACATAACTTTAACTTCAACCTTCATTTTGACACTTGACTGACCAGAGAACACAGTGGTGGTGGACTTGAGTCAGTTAGCATAGACTAGAGAGCATGCTGCAACACAGAGTTGGTATGTGCTGAGAAAACAGGGGGAGCCAACTGACACCTGGCACTGAGCCAGCAGATGAGGCAGAGGCCCCCAGTCAGGGCTTGTTAATCTTTACATCACATTACCGGGGAAACGGTTAACACACTACAGCTGCTAGACTAGAGTCCATTCTGACTGAGCTGTGCTGTTGATGAGACTAATTACAGGGTGGATTGTGACATGATGGGGGTTATTATTACCAAGAACTTATCAAATGTGTGAAACAAATATGGACTGACCAAATACTGAGAAAAACATGTTGAATAATACTCTATAGGTGGAACACCACAAAACATTAGCGTATCAAATATTAAAAAGAGGTACTAGCAACCAGTGATGGAATGTTCAATATTATTTTGGAAAGCCTCGCCCACAACTTTGAGGCCAGCTTTTATGATAGCAATCCAAAGGCTATTTGGAAATAACTTCTCAAACCATAGGCATAGAATTATTCTCATGTGTGCACATAAAGTTGTTGCTCAATTTCCTCTTTAAGGGACATTGTGGTAGAACAAACAAGGAATCATGCATGAGTGGTTTGCTTCTTCTTCACAAAGAGAAATGCCTTTAAGAGTTGAAGTGGCTCAGTGGGAATTGTGTTATTTTTTCTCCGAACCAAACTGCTGGCAGCAGAGGCAGTAAAACTACATTTCATACAGCTGGCACCAGGCCCCAGGCCAAGAAAGGAAATATAAGATTAAATGTGACTTATTTAAAAGAGGGAGAGGGATAAAAGAGAGAAGAAAGACAGATGTTAATGGAGTGAAAAAATTATTCACCATAAACCTCTGCAACATTGAGAAATAATGTGGTGAACTCGACGTGACTTACTATATACATAGGGTGAGGAAAATATTGAGTAATTTCATATACACACTGTCGAGCTGCTCTCACGTTCCCAATCTGTGAGGATACCATCTGCTGTAAAATTGAATACCATGCCATGCTAAGTTTGGCACCTAGCAATACCAATTATAAATCAGCATCTATCGGCAGACATGGATGAGAATGACATAATCCTGCATTGAGCTTTAGGAGATGAAGACCCATAGTGTTATATCTGGGTAAGAACATGACTGCTTTTCCCTATATCAATTCTCAAGAATGCCATTGAGAGGTGAAGGTACCGTCCATACTGGTGTAGTTGTCACACATCGGTGGAACATTCTCCTAAAATCCATGTTACATCACACAAATTGTTAAACTCAATATTCCAGA